AATTTTAACAAAAGCGGAAAAGAGGTCTGGTAACCATGGTAGCATTAATTTAAAAAAATTTATTTTTGTTTTTATTAAATTAGATATATTAAAGAGTGTTTTGGTACAAAATTGAGAGGTGGGTTTCTTGAGGATTTTTAAAATTAATTAAATGAATTAAAATGAAAAAGTACGTTTGGATGTTACTTATTAAGAAATTTCTTATTTTGAAAACCATTAACAAAAGTTAAAATGAAAAATTCATAATAGATGTAATATATTAAGTTAAAATAATCAAACAAATACAAGCTTTAAATAAAAAACTAGTCGATAAAAAACCAAATTTGCATCTGAATAATTCATAAATTGCTTATATAAGAAAACTGGTGTAATATGATTAAGTTAATTTAAAAATTTTATGCAAATCATCTGTGTCTATCTGGTATATGCGCCCTGATCTTAAAGATGATGGTTTTTTTTATCATAGTTAAAATATGGGGCTTTAGAACAATCATCTCTATTTGGCCAGTGTAACGAAGTGTTAGGTAAATGAGGATGCATGAATTTTACAAGGGCATCTTCATTTCTTTCATCAACTTCAAATACCAAACCAACCCAGTTAAACATATCATATTTGCAGATATAATATTTTCCTACAATGATTTCTTGAAGATATTGAATCGAGCCAGTAAGGTTGAATGTTAGATTATACTCCTCCTGCTCAGAGACTCTTTTGACATTTATGCTTGTTGCATCCTGTGGAATAAATTGGTGGAAACTTCTTGTACCAGGTAAAATCTTTGCATTATTCAATCGGAGAGTAAGAGATTTACGGACTGATGAAATATCTTCGCCTTTTAAAAAAAAGAAGTGGATGCCAAATATGTTATCTTTTGAAAACATTTCTTCAGCGCTCTGAATTTGTAAGTCAATTGGACGTTGAAGACTAGCATTTGAAACAAGTCTTTTAACTGTTCCACCAATGCCATCACATGGTGACTTTCCATGTGATGTTGCAAAGAAATTCCATTCACATTGCATCCCAAAATCTTCAACATGATGACATATATTTAAAAAATGTTTGCAATTTTTGTACTGACCAGCACAACCATCAGAGAAATAGTGGATTTTTATGGTATTGGGAAACATATCTTGTACAAATTAGAAAGTTCTTTTTACTATACAATAAATAAATCCAACATTGTGTGTTAAATCATCAGATATAAAGCATAAAGACGTTGGTTGACTTTTAGTAGAACCCTCATCATTTTTGTTATAAATAACTACAGGATGTAGTGTGCATTGCTGTTGGTTCCAGTGGTAACTCTGGATTTCATCTTGTATGATATATTTAAAGTTTTCTGCAAAGTCAACTAAAATAATAATTTCATTTATGGGTATAGATGACTTTAATGTTTTTAAATTTTTACTTTGCGATTTAGCAATATAAGAGTGAGATGTTATGCTATCAAGTTTTCCACTAAGACTTTCAATGAATTCACTTATTGTAGATGTGTTACTTAGAAGCTCTGCTCTATCTGTTGTACTCCATTGTTTGTATTCAATTGTTTCATCTTCATCCACTTTGCCATTCTCTTCAAATGATCCTTCGTTTTGCAATAAATTTGCAGTCATATAATTTATAATATTTTGAATTCCAGGGCATTGATTACATCTATGGACCATGCATTCCCTTGACTCTCTGCTACAAACAATCTTCTCAATAAGTTCATGGTAATTCTTCTCCAATTTAACTGCGCTAAGCATAAGCTTTAGGTTTTGGTGTTTTGCACATACACAAACAGCATGGGTTCCTTTTTGACCAGCATAAATACACCATTTTGGCTTTAACTGAGCAAATTTAGAAAATCCTATTTTAGATTGAGGGTGTTCTAGTTTGAATTCAATAAATAATTCCTTTAAATTGCAAAGAAGTAATTGCTTTGATACATGTTTATTTTTGGATACACTTACAAAATCTTTTATACCTGGTAACTGCCTACTAATTGATCATTACAATAGAAGCTTTCCACCTTATTAATGATATCTGATTCAATTCTAACAATGTTAGTTTTTTCTGGAGGTGTTAATATTCCTTTTTCAAATTTAAGTTTTCTTGTTTAGTTATGGTTGATTTTGATATATTAAATACTTCAGCTGCTTTCCTTAAAGACCATGAATCTGGAACCAATGTTAAAATCTGAATCTTTTCTCTTCTATTTGCTGTTTTCAGCTTTTCTTGCATTGAAAGTATCAATTTATCTAGATCTCAGAAACTGAAGATCTAGATAAATCAAAAGTATCAATTTATCTAGATCTTCAGCTTTCTTCTGACAGCAAAAGACAGCACAATAAGTTAAAAACATAAAAATTTACCATTTATATTAGTTTTATGCTTTTTAAATGGGTCGATGCAATTTTTTTGGGAGTTAGCAAACCGGTTAAGTAAAATTTGTTCATGATGTAAACAGATTTTAACATTAACATTTAATATTGATAGCCCAGATCTACATAATAATAAATTTCTATCTTTCTCTGAATAGCTTGATAAATCTTTCAATCCAATTGATTTAGTGTACACCATTTTATGACATTGATCATTTGATAAAATACCAACTGTACATAAAATCTTGTTCATTTTATTTTTTCAATTTTTTATTAAGCTATAAATAAACACAAAATACACAGACATATTTAATACATTTATTGAAAATGGAAAAAATATTTACCATTTATAATTAGTATTTTTAAATATGTACAATATATAGTATTTTATGTATTTATTTTTTTAACTTTGATTTTATAATTTTTTTAAAATTAATGATTAGCTATAGAGAACAAACAACAGCTGGTAAAACATCAGACCAATCAGACTAAGTCTTAGGGTTTTAAATATTGAGTTTTTCTTCTGTTTTAGTCAAATATGACATAATATGTCATTAATTAGAAAGCAAAAATTTATTTAAAAAAGAAGTATTCATTTAAATTAAAGTTTCTTTAAATAATAGGTAAAAAGGATTTCTTTAGTATAATATTTTTGATAACTAATGAAAATTGTAAATGTCAATTAATTTAAAATAAAATCATAAACACAGACCTATAATACTTATTTTTTCACATAATACTCCTATATTTTTACAAAAAATTTCAAAAAACCCACCTCTACATTTTGCATCAAAAAACTCATTAGAATATCTATTTTAATAAAAACAAAAAAAAATCACAATAAAATAATGCTACCATGGTTACCAGACCTTCTTTTTGCCTTAGTTAAAATTTCAAAAATATCTGTAGGTGAAGTATATTCGCCATATTGATATAATTCTAAATATTCTCATTAAAAACAAATATTATATTCTGATTCCTCGTCCTAAAAACTATAAAGGTGTTAATTTTCAGCTTAATTACATGTTTAGTTAAACAGTAACTTGTAAAACAAAAACTATAGTAAAATCAAAATGGCCGCCGAACAGAAAAAACTGCTAAAAATAGCTGACTTTAAAGTAACAATAACTCCAAAACCCCTTTGATATCAGTGCTAAAATTTTGCAAGGTAGTCTATGTTATATAGATGACCATTTTTACAAAGTTTGAAGAAAATCTGAGATGGTTGGTTACATACCTGTCCCACTTTCTCATGGAATACCTCCCTTAACAAATGGCTCAATCAGTTGTTTTAAAAGAACAGTTTACATAAAATTTACGTAAACCAAAAAATTACATTAAAAAACTGTTAATTGTTTTAAAACATAAAAGAGAAAACTGCGAAGAAAGGTTTAAAGAAATTTTTAGAGCTGAAAAACAATCAATAATTGAGAAAGATTTACCTACAAAATAATACAACAACAGACATGTTGTGAAAATATACCTTCAGATTCAATAGAATAATATTACAGACAATCAATTTGCATCCCTCTACTTGATGCTTTGATGAAAGATTAGAGAGAAAGATGGATCCGCCCTTGGTGTATACACATATGTATGTAAGTGTATGTACGCGCGTATGTGTATTTCTGTGCAAATATGTGTGTATGTATGCATGTGTGTGTAACTATATCTATATATCTTTATATTTATTTTTGTGTATACATGCAACAATATTAAACTTTCTACTTTTTTTAAACTTATTTGTTTTTCTTTATTTTATCTTTAATTTTTACTATATTTTTGTATTTTTTATCTTTTTGATAGTGTTATTTTGATAGTATAATTTTAAATACTTATCGTAAACACAAATATTATTATTTTTAACTTTTGTTTTTATTTTCCTATTTCAATAAATATTACTTATTTTTATCATTTAACTATTAGTAACTAACTCTGTATATTTAGCTAATACGTTAACAAAAACAAGTGACGTTTTACTTACATTATTATTATTACTAACAATAATAGTTTAAAAGAGATGATATCTCTACAATTTTTTTGTTGCTAGAAATGGTTTTATTATTTAAAATGTTGCTTATTATTTTATAATTATCTTTGTTTCTTAATTTAGGTATTATTTTTTAAATGTTGTCAAGTTAAAAATAATAATAATTGTGGTTGCGATAAGTTTTTAAAATTATACTATCAAATGGATATTTAAAAGCGTTGCTATTGGGGCTCGGTGATATGGCTAATTTTTCCAATTCCATATATACATATATATATATATATATATATATATATATATATATATATATATATATATATATATATATATATATATATATATATATATATATATATATATATATATATATATATATATATATATATATTATATATATATATATATATATATATATATGTATATATATATATATATTTATATACATATATATATATATATATATATATATATATATATATATACATATATGTATATATATATATATATATATATATATATATATATATATATATATATATATATATATATATATATATATATATATATATATATATATATATATATATATATATATTAGTAAATTTTCTTATGATTAAAAATAAAATGTTTTATTTATATTTTTTAGCCTGGCTCATCAACTGAAGCATCTGTTGAATTACCAGAAACAAATGCGTACAGAAGATTTAAAAACGTTGTGTAGAAAAAAATATGGTCGTCAAGATTCTTTAAATGATTAAGTCAATATATTAAAAAATTAATACAAATGTATATTAAAAGTTTTTGTTTTTTTTAGCCCTATAAAATACATTTTTTTATGTTTCTACAAATAAAGATGTTTTTTGAGGTCCTGGGCTCACTGAGAATTAAATATAAAAAATATTGAAAATACTCCCCACTAAATATAAATGTTATTAATAATAGAAATTAACTACACTTGACCTCATAACGGGTTCCAACTTAATAAAAATGAAACTTTGGCAAAGCTCCTCCTAAATAAGAGAAAACTAGTTTACAGAGCTCATTGTAGTTCCCCCCCCTCTACCCTGGTAAATATTTTTGTAGTCAATGTCTTGCAAAACTCTAAGGCCTCTGACTCAATCTGTTGCTCATTCCAATCAAATCTGATAATCTTCTCTATCTTGTTCACTTCTTCCTTAATGCTTGGCCAGGCTTCTTTTAGTCTTAAATGCATTACTTTTCTGCGCCTTTTTGTTTTCTCACAAGTAATTGCTTCCATAAAATATTCGATGTGTAATTCCAATATGTGTCTCCTGCAGAAAAACCTGTAAATTTGGGTGGTGAAAATATTTGTAAGATTGGAAATGGCACCAATAAATACTGCAGTGACTTAACCACCGGAATGTCAGAGAGTTTGTTACTCTCATGTATGAAATCTGCCTACATCTTTGTAACTCTAAAAATGCTGAAATCCCAGTTTAGATTTCTTAGATACGTAAGTTTACTCATATTTAGTATGGAGCTTTATTATCTTTTCCCTAAATAATCTGAAAAAAAATTAATTCTTAAGTTAATTAACTACTTATGCATTGGTTCCTTTCCTTTTTTTTATGTTTCTATATAACTATTCTATATAACTATTTTTTGCTGAGTTGCTCATTTTTTATTTAGAAAGTTAAAAATTGAATTATTTTTTGCCTGACAGCAGCTCAAAAAATTATAATACTTTTAAAATTAGCCTTGTTTCACACATCCATTACAAGAGAATCTATGGTATATACAAAACATATTAGGATCTTTAAATAATCCATAAGTGAAGATCTTTGCCTGAAAGTATTTGAAAACAAGGTATAGCTGGCTCAGTAGATTAAACTTTAAGAACTTTTTACTTCTACTACAAAAACTGTGGTAGATGTAAAAGAGAGTCCCTGGACTTGATTGTTTCACCTGGCATCACTCATGATATTACTTAAGACCACCTTTGGGAAAACTTTTTGACAACCATACTTAAGACACCGCCTCAGTGTATACAGTGGGAAGCAAAGGCTCTGAGCGACAGCGAAGCTTTAAAGGGTGGGAGGCAATGGGAAATTTATATTAGGTTTTTTTGTTTTTTTTCTGTTCAACAATTTTCTTGTTTCACAAGTTTCATCAAGAAAATTTAAATAAAATTTAAAAATGACAGGAGCAAGTAGAAAATAAAAAAGAAGAAGTCTTGTCATCATGCCTCAATATGAAGCGTAAATTATTTTTTACTAATTTCTCATCCTATAAATTTACAAGTACTCGTTATATGAAACAAGTTATTACATATTTAAATTATATATATATATATATATATATATATATATATATATATATATATATATATATATATATATATATATATATATATATATATATATATATATATTTATAATATAAAGCATAAAACTACAGCTGCGTACAAGTTAAATTTTTCTTCGTAATATTTCCTGTTTTTGCACAGATCGTCAAAAGACATAATACCTAATAAAAAAAGCCTTAGAAATGAAAAGAGGGTACCCAAAATAAAAAAAAAAGAAACCTTTATCTATAATATAGGGAACTTTCAATAAATAAGGGTTCCAATCAGGGGCTGTACCAGGCAGCATGACGGCCCTTCGGCGGCCCAGACTACAGTAAGTTATGATAAATTTCAACAATAAAATAAATAGATAGTAAGAAATATTACAAGATTTTTTTTTAAAACATACACAAACATATTAAAATAATTTATTGAGGTTATATTTTCCATATTTTCATCAAGAACTATATTCCATAGATGAGGTTTTTCATATGAAGTAATCGGATATTTTAAGAGTTGACTTGGGTGAGTCAGAGTTATAGATAGCGTACTTCGTTATGTATATATGAGTAGTTTTTGAAAATTGGTTATTAAAGGATTTTAGTATCATGTCATTTTGATATTTAAATAAGAATAACAAGTTTTGGAACAGGTTTAACTCATAGATTTTTAAAGTTTTAATTTCCCGGAGTAATGGCTTGGAGTAAAGGTATTTATGCACATTACATATAATTCTGCTGGCTTGTTTTTAGTTAATACTTGTTTTTTGCAATGCTGAAGGGCAAATACTTGCCTAAGCAATAGCTTATGTAGCAATGGATAAAAGAGTAATAATAAATTAAAAAATTTTTTTACTTAGTAAGTGTTTAATTTTTATGCATATCACCTTTAATTTTAGAATTTTTTTTTTTAATTAGCATAATATGATTTTGTCAATGGAGATGTTCATCAAATATTATTTCTGAAATTTTGTTATTAGCTGAGGATGTTGCAGGGGCAAATTATCGGATTGGTGATGAAACAAAATTTATTTAGTTTTACTGATATTCAAAGAGAGTTTGTTTGATTTAAACCAGTCATTAATGTTTTCCAGCTCACCATTTACTGTAAAGAGATTTTTTTTTTATTGAAATGGGTATAAAAAAGATTAGTGTCATAAGCAAAAAGATAAAAACTAAGCATGTTTGAGGATAGGTAGATATCAATTACATTAATCAAAAACAGCAAAGGTCCATTGAATAGAGCCTGGAGGAACTCTTTAGCTCATTGTTCTAACTTTAATCATGTTAAATAATCTTTGATCTCTATTCTTAACGTAGCTTTGCAGCAATTTTAAGTTACAATTTATCGCTCCATATTTTTCTAGTTTGTGTTGGAGGATTTTATGGTCAACAGTTTCAAAAACATTTGACAAGTCAATGAAAATGCCTCGAGTACAATTTTTTTTAGCAAACCCGTCCCAATTTTGAGTAGATAAATCAATAATTGCATGATGAGTTAAATGTCTTTTTCGGAAACAAAATTGTTTGCTGAATAAGATATTATGTTTTTCAAGATAATTATATAGTCTGTTATACATAATACGCTTAAGCAACTTTGAAAAACAAGAACGAATAAATATAGGCCTGTAGTTAGATGGTATAGAATCATTACCGTTTTTGTATAAAGTGACTTTTCTTTTTATTTTTAATTGACAGAGAAAAATGCCAGTTTTTATTGAAGATAAAAAAGTGGCAATTTAATAATATCAAAAACAGCTTTTAGAACATTAACATTATTTGATTATACGTTGTTGTTGATAGTATAGACACTTTGAAAAAAAAAAGGTAAAGTATAACAAAGAAGTGTTCTCATATAAAAGATCGTTATAAAAAGTATAGTTAGGGGCTCAAAAAATTTGTATACGCATGGAGTGGTCAAAGGTTCCACGAGGTATAGGTTTGGTCATGTGGTGTGGGTTTGAGTGTGGGTTTGGTCATGTGGTGTGGGTTTGGTCAAAAGACAGATAATTAGTGAAAAAGGTCCAGGTGGCGCGTAATTGGTCAAAAACTCCTCGCGGTGTAGTTGTCTAAAAGTGAAATATATATATATATATATATATATATATATATATATATATATATATATATATATATATATATATATATATATATATATGATTTTCTATAAAATACATTTTTAGAAAAATATATATATATATATATATATATATATATATATATATATATATATATATATATATATATATATATATATATATATATATATATATATATATATATATATATATATATATATATATATATAAGCCTGGGTCTACTCAAAGTCGACAGCGATTATTTTTTATACCTTATGTCGACGTAAAAAATTTTCTTTTTTAATTCATTTTTCACTAACAGATGTTGCGTAGATTAAGAATTTGTATAGAAAAAAAATTTAAGTGATCAATTAAGCGCCTTTTTAAAAAGAAATAGAAAATTAGTCGACTTAGCGATTTTAACGCATGCACATATATTTCAACTTGACGTCGTAAAATAAACTTTATACGCATATTTTAAAGTTTATTTGTTATTTTTACATATATTTATATTAAAAAAATTTATAAAAACATAGAAATATTAAAATACAAGACTATATATTTATTATTGTTGACTTGACGCAAGATTTACGAGTAGAATAAGTCTACTTATAGTTGAAAAAAAAACATATTATATAATGTCTAAATGTTAATTTTTTTTTTAAACTCGTCGTATATTATTTTAACTAAATAGTTTATCTATATTTTAAACAAAAATTATAATAAATATATCTTTATATTTCAAACAAAAAATGCAATCTCTTAACCATCGACCTATATGTCGTATATGTAACACGAGTAAATATACGCGCTTTGAAAAAAAGTTATTGTTTATAGTTTTCCGCGTTTTTTTTGTTTATGTTTTTCATAAAAATCTCTTGAGTATAATTTAGACTTTACAACGGTATCTTTTTTTTTAAATTTCCATTGAACTAATCGTGAATAAAATTCATTCAAACGTAAAGTCGACAGGAAATTTGTCGACTTATGAAAATTGTCGACTTGACGGTTATAGAGACATAGTTTGTCGACTTTGGGCTGACCTAGTCTTATATTTTATATATATATATATATATATATATATATATATATATATATATATATATATATATATATATATATATATATATATATATATATATATATATATATATATATATATATATATATATATATATATATATATATATATATATATATATATATATATATATATATATATATATATATATATATAAATATATTTTTCTATAAATGTATTCTTTAATTGATATATATATATATATCAATTAAAAAATACATTTATAGAAAAATATATTAATTAAGTATAAAACTAAATGAAAAAAGTTAGTATGGCGCGAAGTAAAGGAACTGTTAGACATTCAAGAGCCTATAATGAAAGAGAAAATCGAAAA